GGTGGTGGACACTGCCCTGCGCCTGCGGGCCCTGCTTGACTTCAAGGATGAGGATGGGAACAAGTTTGTGGCAGGAGACGAGTGGCTCTTCGAGGGTCCTGGTGAGCAGGGGGGGGCATCTCCTTCTGGGGACACTGTGGAGGACCCGTGGGCTGACAGTGCCACCTGCCCACAGGCACCTACATCCCCCGCAAGGAGGTGGAGGTGGCCGAGACGCTGCAGGCCACTGTCATTGGGCACAACCAGGCCATCCACCTGCGAGCACGCAAGGAGTGCCTCGACCGCTATGGCACCCGCCGCGTCACAGGTAGCACCTGGTGACACCCTGGTGGCCTCCCAGGTTCAGCCCTCTCTCGGTGGCCTTGGTGTCAGCTGGCATGACATCACCCTGTACCATTGGTGCTACCCCTCAGCACCCAAGGGACACCTTTGATGCCAAAACACTCGAGGGACACCCTGTGCCACCCCACCCCATACCCCTGGGACCCTTTTGTCACCCTCTAGCACCCATGGGAGCTCAATCTCATCTGACAGCACCCCTGGGGCCTCCAGCATGCCCACCCCATTCCCTGGGACTCCTGGCACCCTATCCTACCCTACAGCATTCCCAGGACCCCTGTCCCATCCCTCAGTGCCCCTGGGATCCATCTCACCCCCCATGAAGCCCCTCCTACCCCACAGCATCCCTGGGATCCCTCATGTTCCCATCCCACACCCCTCCATATCCTCCCTCCCACCTCTCAGCACCCCCAGGATCCCTGTCTGATCGTCCTCCCCGCTCCTCTGGGATCCCCAGCTACCCCATCCCAGCCTCCATAAACTCTCTCCCACTCCGTAGCACCCCTGGGATCCCCAACTTACCCATCCTACCCCCCATAAACCCCATCCCACCCTGCAGCACCCCTGGGACTCCATCTTATCCCCCAGCACCCATAGGACTGTCAGAACCACCAGTACCTCCAGGACTCCCATCCCAGCACCCTTAGGATCTTCCCATCCCACTCTTAGGACCTCCCAACACCCTCAGGGCTGCCACCCACCCATAGGACCCCTTGTCCCCAGCACCCCTAGGATGCTTGAGATCCACAGGACCCTCAGCACCCCTAGGACCTCCGTGGCACCCCATGCTGCATATTCCCCAGTACTCTCATGACCCATGTCCCACCCCAGCACCCCTGGGACTCCTGGGCCCTTCACCCCCACAAGCACCCCAGTGTCCTCAGCTCCTCCAGCACCCATCACCCCTGCTCCCAGGTGAGGAGTGGCTGGTGAAGCAGGTGGGTGCCTACCTGCCCGGTGTCTACGAGGAGGTGGTGGATGTTGTGGATGCCTACATCCTCACAGACAAGGTACTGTGCATCCTAACCCTCACCTCCTTGGTGCCCATGGGTGATGAGGCCCTTCTTGAGTTGGGTTTGGGGGTCCTGTGTCCCTATCCCCCTGCACCCATGGGTGACTGGAACCCTCCAGGATGGGTGAAGGCCCCCATCTCCCCCTGATCCACCGCAACCCTGACCCCTTGCACACATGGGAGACAAGGACCTTCCAGAGGGGCCTGGGGATCCCTCCAAGCCACCGTGTTCCCTTGCACCCATGAGTGACCAGGACTCTCCAGGAGGTCCCATTCCTTTCACCTGTGGTGTCCCTGTTCCCCCTGCCTCAGTGGATGATAAAACCCTTCCTGTTTCCCTGCAGCCCACCATGACCCCTTTCCTCCTGCACCCATGGGTGATGAGGACTCCCTGGGATAGGTTTGGGTGTCCTGTGCCTTGCTGCACCCATGGGGGATAAGGATGCCCAGGATGAGTGTGTTAGTTCTCTTGCACTCATGGGTCGCAGAGAGCCTTCGAGACTGGTTTGGGAGTCCCTTGTCCCCATTCCCCTGCACCCATGGGTGACGAGGACCCTCCAGGATGGATGTGGGGTACCATCACCCTCCAACACATCACATCCCTGTCCCACCTGTACCCACAGGTGATGAGGTCCCTCAGGGGCAGGTTCGGGGTTCCATCACTCTATCTCCTGTGGTGTGACAAGGCCTGTTGGGGCCAGCTTGGCATGTCCCATCACCCACCATGTCCTCATGTGTACCCCCACTGCAGAAAGCCCTACACCTGCGGGCAACACGGACCTTTGAGGATGAGGAGGGCCAGGTGCGGCGCACGGGTGAGGAGTGGCTGGTGACCCAGGCACAGAGCGAGGCCTACATCCCGGAGGTGTTCGAGGAGGTGGTGGCCGAAGTGGCGGTGACAACGCTGGGCCCCCGGCAGTACTGTGTGGTGCTCGACCCTGTGGGGCCCAATGGGCAGCCCCAGCTGGGCCAGCAGTGTGTTGTCAAGGTGGGCACCCAAGGGTGGCTCCAAGGGACCTAATGTAGCCTTAGCTTTCCCGTAGGTATCAAAGGTGGTCCTGAGGGACCCTAAGATATGTGATGTACTGCTGTTGTGTCACCGGCAGACCCTAAGGTGGCACCAAGGGAGCCTCATGTATGCATAGGTGTCCTCAAAAGTCTCAAAGGTGGCCCCAAGGGATGCCAATGTACCCTTGAGGTGTCCCTGAGAGTCCCTAAGGCATCCCTGAGGGATCCCAACATACCTTTGAGGTGTCCCCAAGGGTCCCTAAGGTGACCTGAGTGCCCCAGGAACCACAGGTGGCCCTGACATACCCAAATGCATCCCCAGAGGTTGCAAAGGTGGGTCAAGGGAACTCAAGACACCTACATTAGCCCTGATGTCTTGCTGAGGGACCTTAAGCTTCCATAGGGACCCATGGGTGGGCCACCAGGAACCAGAAGTTGACCTTGACATACCTGTAGATATCCCTGAAGGTCTTGAAGGTGGCTCACAGGGACCATAAAACATCTTTGAGGGACCCTCATGCACCAGTGCCCCTGCCCTGTGTTCCACCATGTCCTGATGTCCTTCCCCCCAATCCCACCATGTGCCCATGTCCCTACTTCATGTCCCACCATATCCCCATGCCCCTGCCACATGTCCCTACTGCTTTGCCATATCCCTGTCCTGCTGATGACGTACCCATGTCCCCAGGGGGAGAAATCCTTCTTTCTGCAGCCGGGTGAGCGACTCCAGGCTGGCATCCAAGATGTCTATGTGCTCTCTGAGGATGAGGGGCTGCTGCTCCAGGCGCTCCAGACCATCAAGGACACCAATGAGGTGGCCCTGGGCAGGTTCAGGATCCCCTGGGGGCATCTGGGAGAAACTGGAGCGGGTCCAGGGAGCCTGGGATGACTGAGGCAACCAAGAGTAGTTGGGGGACAAAGGGGATAACCAGGGGGGACCCAGGAGTGGTTGGGGGTCATGGGGGACAATCAGGGTACCTGGGGACAGTTGGGGTACATGAGGGACTCCTGGGGGATAATGGAGGCCCCAGGGTACACGTAGGGGGACTCCTGTCCTCATCCCTGTGTCCCCAAGACAGGTGGGTAGCAGAGGGCCATGGAAGGAGTTCCTCCCGCACTGTCCCTGAGCTGAGGTTCTGTGGAGAGGGTGTCCCTGTCTCCATGTCTTCAGGCCAACGGGTGGCAGAGGGCCGTGACGGAATGTCTGTGTCCCTGTATCCCCATGTTGCCATCCAGGGGGTCGTAGGTGTCCCTGTGTCCCCAGGCTGGTCGCTGATACCATCCCTGCATTCCCAGGAGGGGACGGAGGTGATGCGGCGCGCGGGTGACCGCTGGCTGGCCCGGGGCCCCCTCGAGTACGTGCCACCAGCTGAGGTGGCCGTGTTGGAGCGACGCCGGGCTGTGGCCCTTGCTGACAATGAGGGCATCTACGTGCGTGACATCCGCACTGGCAAGGTACCTGCCACAGCTCCCTATAGCTCCCCTGGAGCTCCTTGTAGCGCCCTGTAACTCCCTGTTGGCCCTTATAACTTCCCATAGCTCCTTTATAGCTTCCTCGGTGGCTCCCCATAGCCCCATTACTGCTCCCTGTAGCTCCCCCACAGTTCCCCATAGCCTCCTATAGACTTCTAGAGCTCCCCTACAGCCTTCTGTAGCTCTCTATAGACCACCGATAGCTCCTCATAGACCCCCTAAACCCCTACAGCTCACCCATAGAACTTTATAGCATCCTGCAACCCCCTAAACCCCTGTAGCTCTCCCATAACCCCTATAGCTCCCCAAATCCCACTGTGGCCCCCTATAGCTTCCCATAATGTGAAAACCCCCCATGGTTCCCCATAATCCCTGTAGCCCAACTTAATTGTACAAGCCCCTATAGCCTCCCATAACCCCCTATGGCCCCCCAGCCCCTTCCCCAGTCCCCCCAGTCCCCCTGCCAGTATTCCACAGTCCCCTAGTGCCCCCCATAACCCCTCCCAGTGCACCCAGTAACTGTATACCCTATCTCAGTATCCGCCCCACTGCCTCCCAGTGCTCCCAGTATTCCATGTATCTCATCCCAGTGCCCCCAAACACAGTCCCAGTCTCCCAGCCCCCCTCTCAGTGCCCCCAGATACACCCCCACCTCATCCCAGTGCTCCCAGTGCACCATACACCTGCTCCCAGTGCCACCAAACCCCATCCCAGTTCCCCCAAACCCTCCCAGTATCCCCAGTACTCCTCCAC